TTCGCGGATTTTATTAATTATTAATTTTCAGCTCTCATGGTCAATAACTTATTATTTTTTTCGCTTTTACTATAAATATACGTTACGAGCAATTTATTAACAATAATATTAAATTGTTATTAACAATATGTTCAATAATTTATAAACTTTTCTACAAATTATATGTGCAGTTTTACATATGTACGTTATAAGTACAAGTAATAACCAATAATTTATTAATTTTCTCACTTTTATTATAAATTTACGTCGTTAACAATTTGTTGTTAACAATATTAATTTGTCACTAACAATAAGTATAATAATTTATAAACTTTTTGAAAGTTATAAGTACATTTTAACATAAGTATTACAATTACAAATAATAATCAACAATTCATTAATCCTTTTACTTTTATTATAAACTTTTTTCGCGAACAATTTATTATTAATAATAAATTTCGTAATTAATTATCTTTGCAGACTGTAATAATATGAACGATTCCTTGATATAAGTTTCCATGATACATGCAATTCAAAATATTATTAATTTTCCATTACGAATATATATTCACAGAGTCAACATATTTAATTAATAACAATTATTTAACACATTTTTAAATCACCCACGAGATTCCCTGAATTTCTTTTACAATTAGCGTGTGTATTCTTTCAAATTTCATTGTCGTACAATTTCGCGCTCATTATACATTCCTCCATACGACTTTCTTGAATAGAAGAACCCCACCTAGACCAGAAGAATTTACTCCTTATTCTAAATTTCCGTTTCACGTGATTAATCGCCTGCTTGCCTGTTGCACCACGATTTCTCAGACACCCTGTATACCATGGGCCATCGCAACCCATGAAAGTTGCGCCGAGTTAATCCGTGGAATTGTTCCGATTGAACGCAGGGATTGATAGTGGTTTATCGGGCCTTGGTTAGCTGGAAAGAAACGGTGGAGGCGGTATCGCATGAATATTTAACGAGTGGCGAACCGGGATGGGGAGGGTGGAAAAAGAGCTATGGTTCTCTGTTAAAATTGGCCATGGACGTGTTTAATATTCGGAATTGAAATACACGCGGCGTGAAAGAACGCGACGGTTCTTTATTAAAATTGGCCGTGGACGTGTTTAATATTCGGAATTGAAATACACGCCGCGTATTACGGCGACGAAAATAGAAGCCGGCCTCTAATCGAAATCGATTGTTCTGCCTTCACGGCAAATATTTGTCGTAAATATTTTCTGGATGCTCGAACGATACGACAAACGTTGTATCGCAGCCGCTCTTATTAGCTCTGTTTGCTTTAGTTCGCTCGTATTTGTCGCGGCCCACCCCCTACCCGACCAGACGCGCTTCCGGTTCCCGAGGAATTCGCCGACGAGAGAGGGCCTGTGTACCTTCGTAATTCTCGTTGTTTAATTATCCGGTTGTTTAGGCCAATGAACGTGTTTACGCCTCCTTGCAGGAGAAGTTGGGCGAGATTTTTTTCGATTTTTGTCGCTGGGAATGAGAATTTTTTGGGGGGAATCGTGGTACCCTTTTCGTCTTCTTCGTAAAATTATTTCGGTTATCGGTATCTAAGGATTGTGAGAAAGTACGTAGAAAAATAAAAATTTTAAGATCGGTATCTGGGGGTTGGAAGCAAGTAGCGCTTATTTGCTTGGAAATTATAGAAATTAGTATCTAATATTTAGTATCAAGTGTATTACACAGTATTATACTATAGAGTACTATAGTGTACTATACAATACTAGTGTCAATACCTAAATATTCAGAAAAATTCAGAAAAATATGAACTTAAAAATAGGCATTAAAGAAATACAAGAAATTTGGCACCCGGGAAAATAAGAATTAAGATACCGATATCTAGGAATAGTAAAAAATCAATAACCAGATGGTATACGAAAAATAAAAATTTAGAAATAAATATCTAACGATATAAGAAATTAGTGTCTACTTACTACCAAAAAGAATAACAATTAAAAAATCCTTATCCACGAATTGTAAGAAATTGCATAACCGACTCATCATCGAAAATACAAGAATTCGGAAATGGCTACCTAATTATAATATTTATTAATGCCTAAATGGCTGCCTAATTATTAGTAAGTATTTATTAATAAGTAATTTCCAGAAGCGAGAAAATAGGGGATCCCCCGAAATGGCAGACAATTTCGTTATTTATAATCCATCAAAGAAGAACACGCGAGCTCGTTATCCGTCTCATAAATAAAACTACGAAATCAGTGTCGACCTCGCAGAGGTCTAACGAGTCTCTCACTCGTTCGTAATTACTGTCATAAGCAGCCATTAAAAATCTCATTTCCGACAAATACGTCCTCCGGTTTCTCCGATAATTGCGTCTACCCCTTGGCCCGACCGAATTATCGAACTTACTGCGTCATATGATCTAACAAGACCCTCTCCGAGGAGACGTATACGTCAACAACGAAAAGGAAAAAAGAAATAGAAAACGGGAAAAAAGAAAGCGACTTCGGTAGCCATCAACGATGAATGAGACGTATCGATCCCGCCATCTTCTAAACCAACAAAGGACACGATTCTTGATCGCTCTATCGCGTAATACCACGGAGTAACAGTTGCACGAGAACGGTGTTTAATTCGGATAAAAGGCACGATGGGTCAGGAATCAATGGCGGCCTATTAACCCTTTCGGTACTACTGCCGCCCATTGGCGGCAGCCATGAAACGTTCCCTGGGTACTTTTAAAAGGCACGATGGGTCAGGAATCAATGGCGGCCTATTAACCCTTTCGGTACTACTGCCGCCCCTTGGCGGCAGCCATGAAACGTCCTCTAGCGTCATCCGCGAAACGTCACCGATGACTGTCGCGATCCGAATGAAAAGTTTAGTGTTAATCACGCTCGAAATTTCTATGAATACCGCGAAACACGTTTTCGTGGCTTCCAGTGCAACCACTCTTGTGGAAAACTTCCTCGTACCACGAATGTATAACCGCGGCCAGCTCCTCCGTACCGAAAGGGTTAATCCACCGATTGCGTTGCAAGGATCACGGTGAAACGACGATAACGATGGAATTCCTGGGCCACGAGGAATTATCGGTGGGAAACGACGCTACGAGTATCGAGTGTCCCTAGTCTAAAGTTCGTCGTTGCAATAACGTGCAATACGAGCGACCGGAAGTGCCATCAGCGTCGCACAAAAAAGCTGCAGCCAGCGACTGCAGCGTTCATTCGTATATACGTGTGCTGAATGTTAGTGCGCGAGAAATTGGCATGATCTGTGCTAGTTGCAGCTGATATACAGGTCCCTTTTGGTGTTCCAATCGATTTGGTGGACCTTTTCAAGAGAGTTTGAAGGCTTGTCGGGTGGGTCCTAATGGCGAAGTCATGCATTGGCATTTTTCGCGTGGCTGGGTGGGAGTGTGATTGGGTTATGAGTGGAATCTGTGAGTGATAATGGGGATCGATTGAAGATCGAATTATCTCGTATTTGCACTCCTTTCTCGATCTTTGTTCAGTCTTGTTGGAGTGCAAAGGCGATGACAGATGTGTCAAGTATCGTCGATCGATGACCGATACTCTTCTGTTCCAGGTCGTTAATTTTAGGCCAATATTTTGCGTTGGGATTGCCCCTGGTGAGAACTAGGGTTTTGTATTATAAGTTTAGTTCTTGAGTTCGTCGGAGATTGATAAATACGTGATTATCTGAAATTCAAACTGCCCTGCGTACTCTGCTATTCAAATGCAATATGAACTGCTTGCGAGGCTGCCTTTGACGAGTTCATTCAGCTGTAATTCACGAGCTAATACGTGTCTAGGTACGATACGTCGTATCCTTGGTTCTTTGGAGAATAGCGAGATGAAAAGTGACTGGTTAAGTAGTCTTAACATGTATAGCTTTTACTCCAGTTTGACGTATGCAGGTAACTCGAGGTGCAGTTTACAAGTTTGTAATAATATTCCAGTGAGTTTGGCACAGTTATGGTAAACACGCGTTTAATAGAAATATAGAGAATAATTTGTTTGTAGAATTATTTGTTTGATTGGTAAATAACCAATATTCGATTGAGGTAATTTTGATTAATTTTAATTAATTTTATTTAAAATCTTCATTTAACCAGAGTCCTTTCCTGTTCTAATATCCTATACTCCATAGTGTATACACTGACTGACAGAAGTTAGGAAACAAAGTAATAATTTATTAACGAATTTTTATACTGTATTCTTGACCTTTTGAGATACGTAGATTAAAATTAAAAAATTGGCTTTGTATAAAATATCTTCACCCTATCTTTAATTTTAATATAATATTACCATCGATATATTATCGACACACTGATAATATTTTAAATATATTAACATAGAGTACGTACTCTGTACTTATTTTTTATTCTATACTCTGTACGTGTTCGTTAAAGGATTATAAAGCAAAGAAATAGTAGCCAGTGAAAACGGTGGCAAAACTGTATAGATGTTTATTAAACGAGCAAATGGTTAGAACTGAGCAGTCTATTTAAGGCCACGCAAATCAGGAGACGTCTCCAGAAAACGGATACAACAGATATTTTAACAGATACAATAGATACAACGCTGACAAAAGACAATACGCAAGGGAAGGGAAGGGATGGCTCCCACATAGCTAGACTGTAGAGTTTATTTTAGTATTTAGTTCTCGCTATAACAGTATTTCTTGCTCAGAAGCTTTTCCACGTCCCGATTTAGAGAGCCCGAGATTCCCCGAATCGAAGACATCAGGAGAGAAACAGAGTAGACGGTCGCGAGAAGCCAGGAAACAAATCCAAATTTCCCGAATTAATCGAGCATAGTCCGAAACTCGGTGTTCCGGAGGCGAATCTCCGCGAGACTCGGCGATAAAAGTTGAAAAAGCTGGAGAGCAGCTTATCTCGGGCGATTAACTTTGGTTCAGCCATTCGTACGACTTCCTCTCCCTCTAGCTAAGCGACGCTTCTTGCACCCGGTGCTCTCGATTAACGCAAGAGAATAATCGTGGCCGGTTTCTTTTTTGTCCGCAGGGCGCTATTCTGACGACCATGTTGGCGACGAGGAACTTTTCCAGTAAGTATGATGCACAGGGTAAGTACCTCCGGCCCTCTTCAGCGCTTCATGGACCACGACAGACAGTACTTTTATATCTCCCATTAAATTTTACGCCCAACCCTGTGTCTCTCTTTCTCTTTCTCTCACTCTGTCTATCTGTCTCTGTTTTCACCCTTCCAACCTGCCCGTTATTTCTCTATACCATTCTCTCACTCTCTCTGTGTCACATTATTCTATCTGTTTACGTTCCAGAATTCATAACCCATAAAACAACCCTCACCTCGTTCTTCATCCCCGGTCTTGTTATTAACTCTCCCTCTTGTATATACATATATATACGTCTCTCTCTCTATATATATATATTTATATATAATTTATACAAAGGTTCCGTTCATCAGCCCTTTCGTTCTTTTCAATAGGTGCTTCACGACGTGGCCCAGCACGTTATAATTTCGCTTATTAAGACGGTGCTCCCTGTACCGAGACAACAGGCTGGATGTTCCTCCATCCACGCCATTCCTCTTTGTTCTCGTGACAAACACGAGTGTTTACGACCCGTCGCTACAATGGCCGGGTTTAAGAGAAGGCACCCGGCCGAGGTGTTACGCACTGATTTCGCTGCAGGAACTTCGCAGCGGATGAGGAAGGGCAGAGGGATGTTCCGCTTTCGGAACAAAGGCGGTCGAGGGTCTTTCCCGGGTTTCGCGAGAATAAAATAACGCCATTCCACTGCGGTTCTTCCCCTTTTCTCGCGCAAAGCTATCCCCTGGGCAATCGAGCTGCTTTTGGGGACAGGGGTCTATCTAAAATCGAATTTTTAAATCTTCAATTTTGCATTTATTTGATATACAAGGTGACTCTGTATTTTCCAATTCACACTGTCGAATACCTTTGAAGGTATTTTCAATGTTTCGGATGAAAATATAGTTAGTCAAATTTATTCTTTTAATTGCAATCGTGTCTTTTGTTCTCTGTATACAAATACTAGTAGTAAGTCCAAGAATAAGATTGCCATAATAACTAAATAATCCATGAGAAATACTGGCAGCTTTTTGGGACAGAGGTCTATCTAAAATCGAATTTTTAAATCTTCAATTTTGCATTCGTATTTGATATACAAGGTGTCTCTGTATTTTCTAATTGACACTGTCGAATATCTTTGAAGGTACTTTCGATGTTTTTGATGAAAATCTCGCGATACAATTGAGATTGCATGATAGTGAAATTTATTCTTTTAATTGGAAGCGTGTCTTTCGTTCTTTGTTACAAATACTAGTAGCAAGTCCAAGAATAAGACTGCCATAATAACTAAATAATCCATGAGAAATACTGGCAGCTTTTTGGGACAGAGGTCTATCTAAAATCGAATTTTTAAATCTTCAATTTTGCATTCGTATTTGATATACAAGGTGTCTCTGTATTTTCTAATTCACACTGTCGAATACCTTTGAAGGTATTTTCAATGTTTCGGATGAAAATATAGTTAGTCAAATTTATTCTTTTAATTGCAATCGTGTCTTTCGTTCTCTGTATACAAATACTAGTAGTAAGTCCAAGAATAAGACTGCCATAATAACTAAATGATCCATGAGAAATACTCGCAGCTTTTTGGAACAGAGATCTATTTAAAATCGAATTTTTAAATCTTCAATTTTCCATTCGTATTTGATATACAAGGTGTCTCTGTATTTTCTAATTCACACTGTCGAACATCTTTGAAGTTATTTTCGATGTTTCGATACTAGTAGTGAGCCCAAAAATAAAACTGCCATAATAACTAAATGATCCACAAGAAATACCCCCTGTCCAAAGACTTCTCGAACTGCTAACGGAGATTAGTGCGTAACAGCTCTGCGATTCTGTCGATTTGAAGGTCCCATAAAAATTTTCGGGCAAAGCACACGTGGACCAAAAAATCGTGCGAAATGGTCAAACGCAAAAGTTACGGAGGCCACGGAATGAAGCACCAAAGATCACTCCTGCTCGTGCACCGAACGAATTAGAGCCCCTTGCGTGAATCCCCGCCTCTAGACTTGGGCGACCGGAGCAGCGAGGTGAAATTGAGCCCAAAATCTTCATGGGAAGACAATTCGTTCTCGTTAACAGCATCACGAAATTTTCTTTTCTCGACGGCCCATGCACGACGCCTCTCAGGATCCTGGAACACTCCTGATGATCTCACGATCGATCTCATTGGTTCTTGGGACGTTTCCCATTCGACAAATTTCATCCTCGCTCGCTCTGCACACTAGTGAACCATCATGGTATACTCATTCACACCTCGTGTACCTCATAGTCGATGCACTTGGCTCGCACCTCATATCCTGCAAGGACTGTGCTGCGTTATCCAGAAATGCATCGTGTGAATATTTCCTGGAATTAATGATCCACTTCTCGATTTTTCGACCCTACTTTTCTCTCGTGTCTTTTTTTATATTTTTTGAGGGGATTTTCGTCCCGAAACCGGGAATTCGAAGAGTATCGGTTGGGGAATTCTGGGTAACGCGAATCGTCGTCGCAGTGGACTCAAGCAGTTTCCTCCTCATCATCAGAGTCATGCTTCGTCGCTTCGAGACGCATTCCCGAGATGGAGCAAAAGTTCGATTAACGGGGATCAGAGTGATCGACGAACGATTTGATCTCGAGCGACGCGAAGGTTCTCGAAACGATCCAGGGGATCTCGTGGATCGCCGTCGGCGAGGAATCATCGATCGCCATCAGTCATTCGTTCATTTCATCCTTTGTTTCTCTCGTTTCTCTGCGTTCCGAGTCGCGAGCTTTTCCATTTGTTAAATAAACGGGATTTTAAATTAACAGGGAGAAATAATTTTTCTGATACTCGTTATTTATTTTTGCAAACCTCGAGAGATACCTTTGAGATCACGATAATCACGATAATTTAAATTAATTTGTTTAATTGTTTATACCTGTCTTCTTTTCCTTCTTCGTTGCACGAAGCACGGAAAATGAATCGCAATAAAGGTATTTAAAAATTAAATAACACGATGTAAATTATCGCGCATATACTGTCTCTGGTATCATCTTGTCATTGGTATCGATCGGGAGAAAAATTTAGCGAAAGGTTATTTTTTAATAATTGAAGAACGTTTAATCTCGTTTAGGATGAGATTCTAATGATATTATTTTTTTTTTTTTTGTGTGTAATTAGAAATTTTAATTCGGACTTTTTATTTGGCCGATGTTCGTCGCGAATTCGTCGAATTTGAAAGTGCAATTTGAGGAGGAGACTATGACATCGTTTGCGAAATATCGCGTCACCGGCTCGAGCACAACTGTTTAGGTCCACTGACGAATAGTGCCTACGAATGATTATTGTGCGTTTAGTATTGCTGACCACTTTGTAGCGCCTCTATTCTGTCAACGAGACAGCGAAATGCGAAACACACCCCGTGCCCCACATTTTTCTATTTGTCTCGTATTCATGCCGCGGATTTTGGAACGACGCGAACAAAAATTCCATATTTTTAACGAAGAAAGGAAAAAAAAAAATGAAAAAACAACGGGAAATAAAAGAAGAAAAACGAACCATTTTTATTCTTCATAAAATTCGCGAAATACCTTTCATCGATATCCGCGAAGCTACCTATAGACTTCGATTTAAAATCAATTTAAAACCCGACGAATCTGTAACAAATTATAGTCGAAAATCCTGTAAATTTACCAAAAAATTAGAAAAAAGATGCACAAAAATAGTGAAAAGGAAAAAGAATAAAGGGATGAAAGTCATATCCGAAAGAACGTTCCAAAATAGGAAGTATGAATATTTACAACGCAAATCCATGTCTGTATATTGTGTACGTCTGTATACAAGAACGATTCCCTGTTGGTATACTCGTCTTGAATCTAGATGCTCGATACACGTATATATACCATTCGTACTATGCATCTGGACGCAGGTGCGCGTATGTGTGGCACGCACACGTGTACTTGCACCCCACAGACACAGCCACGACACACAACCAGTGTATACGTCGCCAGAAATTCCCCTAGAATGCAACGGCATTTCACCCAGAGTTTAGTCGAACAGTAGATGAGCATCTTGCATCCGTAGAGACGACACTCGGAACGCGATACGAGCGCCACTCTTTGCTCCCCCAGAACACGATTATCACTGTCTGATTATATTATAGAGCCTGTGTGTAATTCTGTTCAGTCTCTTTTTTCATTTGTCTCGTTTACCAATTTTTCTTTTCTTTTTTTTTCTTTTTTTTCTGTCTCTTGATCTCTTTGTCTCTATATATTTTATTGTTGCGTCTATATATTTATATATATATATACTGTGCAAAAGACACATCGTCGGGGACACTTCACGCTCGAAGTAGTATCAGGTAGGACACGACAGGGGGACAAACGTAGCGGAGCTATGTGTTGGTAACGCCTAGTTACAAAATGGCCCACGGGTCAAGGGTTGATTCGTGAGAAACGAAGAGATTTTTTGGTAGGCTTTTATCCGTGACCCAAGCCGGATTCTCGCGGGAGTGGGTCGCAGGCGATGCTGGGAAGGTAACGTTCTGGCGCGGGAAATTTGAATAGGTTGGAACGAATACGAGAATTGGAAATAAATATATTTACACGATTGTTCCGAACGATTATTCAAACCGGGTTCTTACGAATAGTGGGTGATAGGCAGTGATCAGAAGGTAACGTTCTAGCGCGGGAAATTTGAACGGGTCGGAAGGAAAACGAAAATTAGAAGAAATAAATAACTTCGTACAAAACGTTTTGTTCGTTATTGTTATCACCGTAATCTTATTATGCGATTGTTCTAAAATTCCTGTACCTTCGAGATCGAAGATCGCGATTAAGCTTATCAGCAGAGTCGCGACGGGAAATGAGAAATTTGAATTTCCACGCGAAATCGCGTTACGTCGGGACATTGTTTCCACCGATTCGCCTACGTTGCGTTACGTTTTGTGTGTCGAGGAATAATTTAAGACTCGAAAGATGGTAATCTGAAAGCGGTCGCTTGTTAATGGTGGAAATTCGTAACGGTTTGAACGCGGCAGAGGAAACGG